CGGGGCAGGCGGCAGGACGCCTCGCTGAGCACCAGGCCCTGGCCGGGCAGCATTCGGGCAGCTCGCTGCCGGCTTTCAGGACAGACCCTGGGCAGGAGCCGAGAGCTCACCACGTTGTGGTTCTTAGAGGTGGTGGGAAAATGAGACTGTTTGAAGGTAAAAGTAGGAACCTTTAGGGTTCGCGTGCCCTGCTTGTTTTTTGGAACGATAAAGCGATATTCAGAAGCAGATCGCCCCCCCGTGTACCACCTCCATCTGTCCTCATTTTGTCCTGCTATGGGGAAATACCCCAGAACTAGTGGTATTTGGGATGTAGCTGGCTCGGTAGAAAGCAAGAAATAAGATCTGGATGCAGAACAGTACCTGGCCATCTTCTGTGTGCCACAGGGTTATGCCCTGGTCGATGCTCAGCCTGTCGGGGTTCACACGGAAAGTTCCTATCACATCAAAAGCCCAGCTCGGGCCGCTCCAGTTCCACATGATGATGTCGTAGCCTTTACGAATGTCCCCGTTGGCATCAAAAGAGATGTGGCTCTTGTACAGGGTGAAGTTTACTTGCTTGATTTTGGGTAGGAGCTGTCAAACAGAAGAGGAAGAGAAGAGCCCTTCGCAGTGACAAGTCTCCTGCTGAGGAGTGCCTTGTCTCGGGAGGGAGATGTGCTAGAGGGCCCCTTCTCTGCTCCGGCTCCTCTCTCCAACCCGCACAGCTAGTGTATGCCCAGCTGCAGAAAGTCCCTTCCAGGTTTCTGCGAGGGGCTGGTGGTAGAGGAACAGAAGTGATCTAGGGCAGGGGTCTGGGTCTAGGCCCGGCTGCTGTGACTGTGGTGGACAGCTGAAGCCCATGAAGCTTTTCAGCTGGGACATGAGGCTTTTCAGCTGGGACACGAGGCTTTCAGAGGGACAGAAAACCCCTGGGGGGAAGGATTTCCACAAGGAAGGTCCTTCCTCATGTTGCTCTTACCTGCCAGGGATAGACCGTGCCTTTGCTGCACGCCCCTGAGGCACAGCCCAGCAGGTCGTGGAGGCCATGGGCCACGGCGTACACGGCTGAGTACACGTTGAAGGACGCTTGAGCATCATACGTGTCAGGGGCAGTGGTGAGCAAGTGGCAGCCAGTGCAGCGCTGGGTGCAGCCCAGCTGGGTGCTCCTTCCAACTCCCCCGCCTGCCTCCGTGCTGCCGGCACGTTTGGCCGCAGCGCTTTCCTCTGCCATCTTCCAAGATTCAAAGCGTTCCAGCATCCTGGAATCTGTCTTCTCAACCGACACCCCAATGACCGAGCCGATACTCTGGATGCCAGGCACCTGCCAGACCGTTTGGGCTAACGACCAGTCTTCGGAGCCCACCCACACCATGCCTGTGACGTTCCTCTGGACCACCACCTCGAAGAAAGGGCGGGTGCTGCCTCTGGTGGAGAAGACGATGGTGACGTTGACCCTGGCGTCCGTGAGGATTCTGACCAGGTTGTGGAGCTCCGGGCTGCTGGCGTCTTTGTTGGCGGGGATGGTGCCTCGGTAGGCGACGCACACGCCGCTGGCGGTCAGCAGCTTGTAGAGAGCGTCCAGGCCGTCCTGGCCGTAGGTGTTGTCGCTGCCCAGCAGCGCGACCCAAGTCCACCCAAACTGCTGCAGCAGCAGGAAGATGGCCTTCACTTGCTGCCTGTCGCTGGGAATGGTGCGCAGGAACGAGGGGTAGAACCGCTTCAGGCTCAGCGTCTCCAAGGAGGCTTCGTAGCTGATCTGCAAAGGGAGCCAGGAGAAAGGGGGTAGCGCTCCCCCAGG